TAAATTCACGCATGAAACAATAACACATGATAAGATTTTTTATTGATTCTTGTAGGAACTCAATGAAGGCTCCTTCCTTAGACCCACTTTAAATTTATTTGATTCTCCCTCAAATTTCCATGCAATTAACTTCAGAAATTTCATAAATTTCTGCTCAGAATAATCTTGGACTTCTCCCCTGCATTCAATTGGAAATTCAATTCGTTTTCTCTTTAGAATTCATATAGTACTTCCTCAGAATTCTCAAAACAAAAATCTATCACAGTTATTCTATGAAACTCTTCTCAGAATTTCTTTGAGATTGAACCCTCAAGATTCGATTCAACTGGAATTCCTCTCGGAATTTATTTTGAACTCTTTAGAATTCTCTTGGAAGTAACTTCAGAAATCATCCCAGAATGTTTTTAGAATTATCCGCAGAGACCATCTTTGGAGGTCACGGGATTTTCATGGAATTTTCATCAGAACTCCCTTAAGTAAAATTTCAGATCTAATTTTGAATTCTTATTAAAATTGGACCTAGAATGCTCCTCCAATCATCATAGAATTCTTCTCAGAACACTCGTTTAAATGTACTCTCAATTATATTGGAATTGTTTCGGAGCTGAATTTTGCGTCTCTAATAATTTAAACAATAATCAAAAGTGACGCTCGTATGTGTTAAGTAAAGTTTAACTATATTGGTAAACCTGGCTTAAGATTTAAGCGGAGATTCGGTCCTCAGAGCACTTAATTTTACATGAGATTTTCGTAGTCTGTACTTGGGTATGTTTCACTGATATATCTTGGTGTCGAATCATTTAAAATTCTCTTACCATTTACTTTAGATTTTTTAAAGTTCTAAACATCCTTGAAATACATTTGAAAATCTATCACAGACAAATACCTTTGGAAAGTTTCCAAGGTTTACAATGTATCTTTTGGGAAAGGAAGTATATTTTCCACGATTTTCAAGCGAAATTGAAGGCATTTCCCAATAGTTGTCCTGGTGTACTAAAGTTTTGCGGTTCACTGGTCACCCGGGTTAAAATTTTCAATTTGTTAAAATATATGAATATTTTGTTAAAACTACTGTAAACTTTCTTAGTGCCAAGTACTCAATTGAAACATTTGGTTGATATTTTTAAATTTCACTTCATTTTAGTAGTGAAAAAGTGTGACTATTTTTAGGGAAATAGTGACCAGTGTTGGGAAAATATCAAAAAATCAAATCTCACCAACGCCTACGATCACGCTTGATTTTCGTAGACAAAAATCAACAAGCAAACTACTGCGGTTGATTTTGCAAGCTGTGATATCGCAGCTCGGAATATCGAGCTAACAAAACTCACCAACTGTAAATCTCACCAAACTGTGGTGAGATTGAGTTTAATGATTTTTGCTTTACACCCGAATGCAACCGAAACTTCCATAACGGCTGGCAGCAGTCATTTCGTGTCTGCCATCGGTGAAGATTAAAAAGAGATAGCAAACTATGCTTTCTCTTACTAAGTAAACGATGTGCAATGGAATCATTTTTGTGTCGAGTCAACTCTCAGCTTGATTTTTGCACGTTATGAATAGTCTCGCAATATCAAAGGAGCTTGTAAAATCAATATGAGAGCGAAAAAATATCAATTGATTTCTGATTTTGCCAACACTGATAGTGACGTTAGTGACTTTTTAGTGACTGGCTTCAAAATAGTGACCAAGTCACTAAAAAGTGACCTGTTATTCAACTGTCAACGCTTGTTGGAATATGTTAAGGTTTATTGGTTTTCCCAGTTCTCCCTTCAAATTCCCGGTTTTCCCGGCTAATTTTCAAATTCTCGGCTCTCTTGTCACATACAGGTAGGAACGCGCAGTAACCCCATTTTCCTCTCAAATTTGCCTTTTGCATTTGCCTTCAGATTTGGACGTTAAAAAAAATGCCAAAACAAGTAAAATTGAATCCAGAACCCCACCATTACCGCACAGAAGAAGGGTATTCAAATAACGTTTCCCTTTATTGCTACTCATTTATCCACGTTCCACAGTCCCTCCCGTGTACTACCTAGCCGGTTGCTACTTCGAAACAAGCATCTAGGATAGGGGCCATATCTAAACATCACCGCGCTATTATGAGGGTATGGTCAATCCTTTTTCACTCTCTCCCTCTCAACCGTTCATTTCGTGCGCCGAAACCCGAATGGTCGGTGATGATGGTCGGATACCTGTGGCCAAACTCCAACCTACCCTCCTCCCTACCACTTTCAACCACTGTCATGTTTGCCTCTCCCTGTCGAATTAAACCGATCGTAAATATTCAAATATGTAACACGGACCGTTGAATGGGAGAGCATTCTTATTTTGCTTACTTCTCCCCGAATTCAAAGGGGCAGCTGTTGGCCTCACTTACCTCGACGATTTCACTCTCCATCATCGGCAACAGCGACGATTTCCCCAAGGAAACCACCCACATATCCAGTAGTAATACCAGGAAGGTGATGACCATCAGCAGCCAAAAGTGTTAGGTCAACGGAGACAGCGGCTATCCCTCTTTTGCCTTGCCATATACCTACTGACCGGCAAGACAAAACAAATAACAACAGTAATAAAAAAAAAGTTCTCTATCACCCTGTTTTTTTTTTTTAATATTCATCTCATGTTCCGTGTAATGTGGAAACGTCATAACGGTCATATTTATGGCCGGAAAGTACCCTCCGCTCGGCTTGGTTAGCGCATCGACGGACGCCATGCGGGCACGGAGGGAAGTTTTTGCCAATTTCCACTTGCTCAATTATGCATTATGCTGGCGAGTGAGATTTTTTTATACACCTGAAGCTTGAATTAAAGAGCAGGATTTTCAGGTTTCTTCGGTGTCACACCCCCACCCGGGATCGGGAGTGCGAATATGTGACCACAGCCCTCTGTGCTCGAACGGGCTGTTAAGGTGCCACTCTGCTGCCGTGTGAACCGAGGTTAAATTCCCCAAAGGTCGCTGCTTGAATCTGCAGCAAGAGGATAAACTCACCTCATCGGTGGATGTCCTTCCGTGGATAACCGGTGCGAGTGGCTGGGGGAAAGGGGGGGAAATGAGAGCCATTAATATTTTCCTCATTAGGAATTCCACGAGCGGTGAGAAAGGAGGGAAAAAATGCACAAAGTGGGTGGTGGTACTCCAGCTCCATGGGGCTGACGGCCCATCAGGACACCGCAGTGCTGAAGAAGTACAAAAAAAGGATTCTTCCGAAAGAGGAACGGGACAAGGTTCGTGCCGTGGCGGTCGTAGTTGGTGACGGTTTTGTTGTGATTTAAATTAATTAATTGTGCTCTTTTTTTCTATTTTAGAGTTCGTGCTTGGGTTAGATGAGTAAGCGAGCGGGTGAAAATAGCTAGACTCGTCGTCGTAGGGTGGGGATGGGAGTGTTGAACGAAATCACAGCTTGTTTGGCTGGTACCTGGGATTTTGCTAGCGAAGTGTGCCGTTTTTCTGCTTCGCAGGTCAGTTTGCACTAGTCTTTTGGATTAATATCGATTCGACCGCACCGCAAAAGGGCAGTAAATATTTATCACGGAGTCAGACTAGGGCAGACAAGGGAGAGAGTGGCTGAAGGGAACACCGTTTTGCCGCTTTCTGCCAAACAGGCGTACTTCTATGCAGCAGTTTCGTGTTTTTGCATTTGGGCTCGTGGGTCGGAATTTAATTTAGATTCATCATCCAGAGTTCTCACAAGGCCGATCCAAAGCAGATGTGTATCCTGGTTTTATGAATTGGCTAAATTAATTTACATTGGTGCACTTGTTTATTCCGAAAATTTCAATATCAGAAATCGGCAACCTGCTCACCGTGAGCCACAAAGTTCATATGATATGTATTTTTTGCGTTGCTGTGCTAAGCTGTATCAATGTATAAATCTGTACGTTTATTACAACGCTGTTCAGCAGCAGTCTGCATTTGTGACACAAACTCTCAAATAAATTATCCTAAATCGAAAAAAGAATACCTTAAATAACCAATCTTTCAACGGAGCAAAAACTGTTACAATCAATTTGTCCGAAATTGGAATTCACCAGCACTTCCGTTCCGGGGCAAACTTCCACCAACCATCTCGTTCGTCCAGCCCACCCACCCACTGCGAAATTGTGTAATTCGCTATTGAAGTGCCGCCTCAGGGTGGTCTGGTGGAAAATTTTATGCATATCACACGTTGCATCACATAACGGGCCGTAGGTAGCAAGCAAGGCTGCACACCAATGCATCAGGTTTCCATCGACCGCGACAGCCTCCGGACCGGTGCGAACTCATTCATTCTCTCTCGGCCCACACACGAACACAATCGAACCATTCATTCGCATTTATTATTTGTTATTGTTTAATCTAAATACAAATTGAACATATCGTACCTCAATTTATTTTCCAGCCTAATAGCTCTCCTCTGCACACGGTGGTCAACCGTCTATTCAATGCGGGGTATAGATTCGCAGGATCCAATTCCTGTCGCATTCCGTGTCCAACAGGCCGAACCAATAACAAAAACCCGAATGATAACAAAAAGGATCGGAATGTGTTTTATTTTATTTCACCCGTGTTTTCCACAAACGGCGGTTAGCTTGTTTTATTTACTGGGGCTGCTTTCGGTGCCTTCCTCTTCCACATTCCTCAACACCTTTCGCCGAACCAACTCCTTTTATCACAGACAGTCAATCGAAACGATATTACCGACACGGTGTGTCTCACTCCTAGACAGAAATTCTTTTATTCGTTCCTGGTCTCCCACGTTCCGAGAACGAATGAATCGAAAGCACAGCCCACGTCAGTCCTCGGCCGGGAAATCCTAATTTTTCTTGGTGTTTCTCGTTACCGGCTGTCCCACCAGGACGACACGGGAGCAGAAGTTTGGCAGACAGGCAGCGTGGTCACTGCAGCAATCCAAAGAACACACGACCGACAGACGATAGAGATTAATTCAATTTATTTTGTATCCTTTTACTTACGTTCCCTTTAACGATTTCACCTTCTTATTCTCTTCTACTTCCAGAGCATTATCACATATTTGTCGGTGATCTAAGTCCGGAAATCGAAACGCAGACACTGAAAGATGCCTTCGCTCCTTTTGGGGATATATCGTAAGTAGTTCACTGTTTTTTTCGACACTTGAATGATATTTTAGCACAAGCATGCCAAGAGAAAAAAAAACGACTACCGAAAGCGCTTACTTCGATGTGAGTGAGTGAGCTTTGGGAACCGATGGACTGCAAACGGAAAACTGGAAAAGTTTTCGAGGACTAATTTGCGTGATAAAAATCAGCCTTTGTAGAAACCAGAGAGGGTGATCCAATTTTGCGTAGTCAACGCGTCGGATGGTGGATGGAAATCGAAATCGAAAAGCTTCGTTTTTCGTTCCTGATGGTTTCCCTTTTTTTCCCTATACATGTGCACAGGCGGAATACGCAGGCGAAGAAGAAGATCATTAGGAACCACCCGTAACGTTTTCAGATTCAATCGGAGATGGGAAATAGTTTAGATCGCAATGCCTCTGATATCCGGGACTTCAGTATAGTGAAAGAGGAAGAGGAAGGGGGGGGAGTTATATCTGTTTCGAGGATGAATACATTTGGATTGAAAATCGATAGCACACTACTGACTGGATGGAGAGCCTCACAAGAGAGGGACTCTTTGATTAACCGTTTCGAATTTGGACGATTCGGAAATCGGAAATAATCTGATTTCCTTTTCTTAGAAGTGGAAACGAGATGAGGTCTCGGCATCTAAAGATAATCGGACAGATTTGGAATAACAATCTTCGGAGATTTAAGATTTTAAATTTTAAAATCGGTGCTATCAAAAGTAGAATAATTAAATCGATGCGATGGTTGATTTTTTGTTTTCATTCCGCCATGCTTGCTCTTATCTCAGTATGGAGCCATCAATGAAAACAAGCATCCATCTCCTGGAACTACCTGGATATCAATATATGGGAATGCTCTAAATTACAGTTTTTGTAACCTGGTGAACCTTAGGCATTGACGCAAAAATGAATGAGATTTTTCAGTCCGCATCGTGTTCCCTTGCCATGCGGATCTATTTGCTTTTTGCTGAAGGAAGAGTTACTACTACCTAAAACTACAACAAATTAAAACAGCACTTTTCAGTGCTCAACCTGTAAAATTTCTAGCTTGTTCAACTCTTATTCCCCTTCGATCCTTGTTTGGACCCTACCCAAGGTAATCCTTCTTGGATATCGATTTGGAAAATTCCTCTTTGATCCTTCATATTCTTAGAGTAATCTGCTTGGGAGTCAATTTGGATAAAAATTTACTGCCTCCATGGCGCCTAAACGCAAAAGAAAGGGGCAAACTCTTGATCCCCCTTCTGATGAAATTAATTTGAGCAATCAATTTGATTTGCTCACGGATGATGAGAATGATCCATCATCCAAGAAAAATTCTAGTTAACTTTCCCGGCTTAATACCAAGAAGGAAAAGATTCCCCCTATTGTGATAACCACTTCCGATTTCCATGCTCTTCGCATGGAACTTTTGAACTTCGTGAAAGTTAAGTTTTCACTACAAATTGGACGTCGGGGTGAATGCCGTGTATTGGCTGAAACCTTGGACGGATTTAAATGTCTTCTCAAGTATCTTACTGAGAAGCAGCACAAATTTTTTACTTACGACGCCAAAACTGAACGTGTGTTCAAGGTTGTCATGAAAGGACTGCCCAGTGGTGAATCCCTGGATCAGATCAAAGATGAACTGGCAAAATTACTTGGAGTTGTGCCACTCCAAGTAATCAAAATGAAAATGAAATCCCGTCCTGGCGATTCGCGCAACGGGATTTCTTATGATTTTTACTTAGTTCACTTCAAGTCTAGTGAACTAAACAACCTGCTTCAAATTTTTCATCTATACCTACTCCCCTCGCTGCTAACAATGTTCAGCGAGTTAATGCAGCTACCTATGCTGCTATTGCAGCGGGTAGAAATCAAAATACTAACCAAAGTAATTCTAACGGAAATTTTGATAATTTTGACTTAGGAAGCATTACTGCCCCTAAAATGAAATTTTTACAGAAATCATTAATTGACATGATTTCTGATATGCTTAAATCTAGCTCCGTGTTTGATGCTATTCAAACTGGAGTAAAATTTGCAAACAATATTGTCAAGACTTTAAAATTCAGCAATGTATTTTAAAGCATTAAATCTTTCAAATTCGAATGCTCGATCCCTTAAAGATAATAAAGACGAGCTATTAAACTTTTCGGGAGTTCATAACGTGCATATTGCCGTTATAACTGAAACGTTCCTTAAACCTGACCATAAGGTCAAGAAGGGCGCAAATTATGTCATTTATAGAAATGATTGTCTTGCTCTTGATGGACCCTGTGGTGGCGTTGCAATCAATGTTCATAGACGAATCAAACATAAAATTCTTTCTTCATTTGAAACCAAAGTTTTTGAAACTTTGGGTGTTTCTGTTGAAACAAAATTTGGACAACTTACGTTTATAGCTGCCTATTTGCCATTCCAATGCGTAGGCCAGCAAAAGAATTTTCTTAAGGGTGACCTTCAGAAACTTACCCGTCATAGGTCTAAATTCTTCATTATTGGTGATTTTAATGCAAAACACCGCTCATGGAATAATGCTCAAAGCAATTCCAATTGTAATATTTCGTTTCATGATTGTTCTGCAGGTTATTACGCTATGCAATATCCAAACAACCCAACATGCTTTTCTTCTGCAAGAAATCCCTCAACTATTGATTCATGTCAACTTTGTAGCCAATTGGTAACTCATGCTGACTTCGGTTCTGATCACCTTCCAGTAGCTTTTGAAATATCCCAAGAAATAATTTATAATCCCAACAGCTCTACTTTCAATTACCATAGAGCTGATTGGGAGCAATATCGAACATTTATGGAATATAACTTCGATCCAAACATTCCTTTGCAAACCAAAGATGAAATTAATTGTGCTCTTGAATCTCTGACTACTTCTATAGTTGAAGCAAGAGCTGCCTCAGTGCCAAAATGCGAGGTTAAATTTGATTCAATTATAATAGACGACGATCTTCAGCTCTTGATCCGTCTTAAAAATGTCCGTAGGAGACAATATCAAAGAACACGCGATCCTGCCATGAAAGTTATCTGGCGGGATTTGCAAAAACAAATTAAAAAGCGATTCTCTACCCTGAGGAACAAAACTTTTGAAAATAATGTTTCTAAATTAGACCCGAGTTCCAAACCCTTTTGGAAACTCACAAAAATTTTGAAAAAAAAAAACCTCAAAAGCCTATTCCAGCTTGAAGCGCAGAAGGTGGTAAAATTTTGATTACAAATTTGGAAAAAGCTCAGAAACTTGCTAAGCAATTCGAGAGTTCCCATAATTTCAGTTTGGATCTTACTACCCAACAAACAATTTTAGCTGCAGATTAGCTTATACTGCCAAAATTTGCCTTATGCAGCTAATTTTTGCCTGTATAAGCTGAGTTGCAGCTAAAATTGTTAGTTGGGTAGTCATGTTGAGAATCAGGTTGCTCGGGATTATCTGAATATTTTCTCTCGGGAAAATAGTTTTGATGATTCCTGGGGGACTGGGGCGGGGATTTTCATGTAAAAGAAGGGATCGATCTCTCGCAAATGCCGGTTGATGGCGAGCGATTTGCACTTAAGCGCCGGTAATTGCAGCTTCAAACCACCATGCTCGCGGTTGCGCGCCATCTGCAACATTGGTACCAGGGCGACCATCCCACTCCACAGGAAAGTACCCATCCTCGACGTAATTTTTGATATGTGTTCGCCAAGCGGTGGTAGTATAGAGGAAAGGTACCAGATCTCCCGCACGCTTGTTCAAGTCTGCAAATCAGTGGATGGAGGTATAGCACGAAGAGGTGCATTGACAACGGCTCAAGTCAATTGATCAAGTCAGTTGAATTCAACTGACTTGAACGCGAATTGAACGTGTAAACCATTCCATTCAACGGACTTGATCAACTCACTTGAATTGAAAAAAAAATGTTGAACCAGGCTCAACTTTTCAAGTCAATTGAATTCAACTCAGTTGATCAATTGATTTGCCCTGTCTAAACCCAGCATTATTGCAGCGAGAATCTCCGACGTGGTGATCTCACTCGTGCACGCTTTATTTAACTCATCGTTGGGTGGTATGGCATTCTCGCAGACGAACGTGTTCTGATCTTTCCTTTATTTAACGTCGGTCTCTGTTCCGCAATCTAGTGCCAATCACCGACGGACATCGATTGCCATCCATTGACGGCAATCGAATGTGAAGGAAGGCAGCTTCCACAAATGCGTAGGATATCGCACCCATTCAACACACATGGGCCGGGACCAACGACTTTACTTCCCTTCCGAAGGAAGACGTGACCAGAGACTTTATGCCTCAGAAAAATCCCACCGACCTCGACTGGGATTGAACCCAGACCCATTGGGGTGTTAGAAAGCATTCACGCTTAGCACTACACAACCGGCGCCGGCTTCCGTGTTCTGATCATCTGCCCTCTCTTCCTCGGAGTATAGGCGGGAAAAGTAATCCACCATGTGCTCCTCGATCGCATGAGACTCATCGATGGTATCGCGATACTCGGTTTGTAGCCGAGTGATGACGGTTCGTTTTCATCTCCGTTCTTCCAGTTGGAAGATGGAGATGGATTCTCCTGCTACGTACGTCTTGTTGATGCGCATGAACATGTGCGAGAAGTTGCGCTGCAGTGACAGCATCTCTCCTTTGATCTGATTGATCGTTGGTAGCATCGCTGGGTTTTGATAGTAGCCGTCGTATGCTAACCGTAGCTCGATATAGAGTCGTTGATGTTCGTTATGGAAATCGCCGAAAGCAGTTCGCGATTTCCATTTGAAAAATGTTTTGGTTTGGGGCTTAGCATACGACAGCCACCATTCCATCCATGAGGCATAGTTTCGGCGCTGACGGGTCCAATATTGCCACCGGTATTGGAAATCCGCCACATTTTCGTCGGCCAGCAGGTGGGGGCGAAGGGACTAGAATCCACGACCGTGTTCACGTCCGAGGTGGAGAAGGCAGAGTCTGAGTGTCAACGCTTTGTGGTCGGAGAACGAGCAAACGTGAGTATAAGCCTCTCGTAG